TAGTGGTTTTCCATATACTTCTTGGGTGACTCGAACCCGTGACCTATTGGTCTCAAGTGAAGGGCGCTACCGAGCTATTCCTTTTTGTCTTATAGAATTGTCACTTAAGTTATTATTTCTTATAAATAAATTTATTTGTTTACTTATAAAAAACCAAGTTTCACCTTTCATTCCGTACTAATAATGTTTGTAATTTCTATTATTTATTTATTTGTAATTGCGTAATAAATGTTTGTAAATTCTATTATTTATTTATTTATCATTATTTTCCCAACAAAAATATCAAAGATTAAATAAACAACAGAAACGCACAACCAACTTGTTATGTTCAAGCAGAACTAAACAGTCGGGCACCCGACAACTGAACCCGGCAAAAACAGCAGCATGAAACACAACTGAACTATCCAAGCAACATCACCCGGATAGGAACAAAACAGCTGTGCTGACCAAAAATACAACAGTCCTAATACATCATCAAGAAGAAAACAAAGCATATCACTATGTCCAGACCAAGAGTGCTCATACAGAGCACACGCCGCCCAACTCCGGCCCGAAAATGTTGATGAGGTCGGATTCCTTTGGCTGGTAAATGACCTTGTCGAAAATATGAGCAAACCCCTCCTGACGTTGCATTGCCTGGAGAATCCTATCCTCGTTGGGCCCAGGCCCAGGCCCCAAGTTCCCACCTCTGTCCGTAGACGAAAACAGCAATTGCGAGATACGGTCTTTCTGGATCTGGTGTGCATACTGTATCACCTCTGTCCCTGACGTGAAGAGTCGGTACACGTGCACTATCCTCTTCTGGCCGAGCCTGTAGGCTCGGCTCACGGCCTGCTTCTCGACTGAGGGATTCCACACAGTGTCGAGCAGCACCACCCTGGAGGCCCCCACGAGGTTGATCCCTTCCGAACACGCGCGCTCGGACGCCAGCAGCACCTTCGCCCCACTCCTCTCGTCGTTGAAAGACGATATCGAGGACTGACGTTGTTTCTCGTCCAGCTGCCCGTCCATGTACAGTATCTCGCGCTCCTCTTGCCACGAAAATCGAGACTCGATCTGCTTCTTGAGAACCATGAGCGGCTGGATATACTGGCTGAAGACGAGCACCCTCTCTCCCAGTGCATCCGCCAACTGTATGAGTTTCATGACGAACGTCGTCTTCACGCCCGACCCAGAAGGGTGGACAGACACGAGGGACACCTGGTGGATCTTGGTAAAGACATTTTTTATCCGCTCGGAATCTTCTAGAAGAACCCTCTGCTCCTCAGTCGGGCGCAGGAACACAACTGTGTCCCTCAGGCCCGGGAGGCTCTCCTCGAGTATGGTCCCCTCGTGGACGTGGACAAACGGGCCTAGCATGTCCCTCACCTTCTTCAGCCCAATGGACCCCTCCGCAAATTCCACCCATTTCTTTTTCTCCACAAGCCGCCGCCTCTTCCGACCATTTGCAGACCTCGGGTTCACGATGCAGAGTGTGTTGTAGAGCTCGGCGAGGTTGTTCTGGAAAGGAGTGCCGGAAAGGATTATGCGCCTCTCTGTCGAAACCTTCGAGAGGGCCTTCCATATCTGGCTGTTATCGTTGCGTGGGGTGTGACCCTCGTCCAGCACCAGCAGGCCCGGGTACTCGAGAAGCATTTTCTGGATTTGCCCCGAAACTCCACCTCCGTTTCCCCTTGCTAACTTCGTGAACACTTGGTAGCTTATTCCTAAGATGCTCGTCTGGGACACCCACGAGGCGAGTTTCGTGAGGCGGATGCAGTCGATGCTCATGGGCCCACTTCCCTTCCCGGCCCGCACGAGCACGTGTGCGGCAAAAGCTTGCTCGTTTTCTGACAGCTCCTTCCTGTTGATGTTGTGGAAGGGTATGTCGACTTTCCATTTCAAGAACTCAGACTCCCAGGTGAGGAGCATGCCCTTTGGGGCTATGATGACGGGTTTGCAGGACGGGTACAGCTTAAGGAATGACTGGAGAAAGACTATGGCGAGTCGGGTTTTGCCTGTCCCAGGGGCGTGAGAGATTATGCAACCCCTTCCACCAGACAGCGGCTGTTTCATTTTCTCGATTATTATGCCTCCGGCTATGTTGTTCCACATGAACTCGAAACCTTCACGTTGGTGGGGGTACATCTCGTTATCGACGCCCGGGATTAGATCCCATACGGTGCCCCTGCTGCGGGAGATCGGGCCCCGAGGGGCTTTATTAAAGCCTGACCCGTGGAGATGAATTTCATCCGCGGAATACCTTGCTGGATCATCGGGGTCCTTCCACTTTTGCCTTCCCGAAGGCCGCGTATACTAAAATGCATTTCAAAACCAAGTTTATCAAGCAAATAAGAGGAAGGTGAAAGTGGTTTACATCAAATAAAGCCATAGAAAAAATGGGAATATTTTCCATAACTATTGAATACTGGACAGGTGGAGTAAAGTATACTTACAAATGGTGGTAAAACATGCTTTATCTCCAGCATTGTGGTTAAACAGTATTTACAGATAATTCCAATCTGTTCGTCAAGGATGGGGACATGCTGTCCTCTGGCACAACAACCAGCTCGGCTTTTGTCAATCTCAGTCAAGTTGTCGACATTTTCTATCTATATTCACAGTAAAGTTGCATTACTAAACAAAATTAAATTTACATACGAAGCCTGGATGCAAAGAATACTTGCCCAACTTAACATTTCTCCTCTCATCACAGTAACATAATGGGAAATGATTAAATGAAATATCAGGTATTCAATCTCATTCTTCAATCCTAAAAGTATCAAACACAAAAGAAAACTAACAAGGAAAACCATTTTATTTCAGAAGCAATCCCACCTTTGTCAACTGTTCTCTTCAGAGAGTAGAAAGAAGATGTACACCAGTGGCACAATAAAACCATCATGGTTTAGTTAAAAAAAAAAATAAAATAGTTTTCGTTCTATGTATAATATGGGAACTTGCTATAATACATTCACCTTGCCAACTCTAAGGAAAACACTAAATCAATGTCCCTTTTTGGTTTTTGTATGAATAACGGCGTTTATAAGTCTTCTAATTTCACTCCACAAAAATAAAAAAGTACGCACGGGTTACTCAAACAGCTCCATCCGATTATACAAAATTCAAGACTAATAGTTGTACGCTTAAATGAAACACCTACAAATTATTAAACATCTAAAATTTATCAAACACAAGGCTGAAAAGCATAAATATAACGGAAGATGTAAAATGTGTACCACGCGTGAACTAGCTCTGTCCATCTCAGATTCTATAAGACCAATGTCCAGAGCACAGAAGAGGGAGTCAATCTCCTTCTCCCACTCGGGTTTATCACGTGGAGGCTCCACCTCATCCTCAAACCTGAACCTGAGCGGAAGGCCTGGCCCAGTAAACTCATTCTTCTTGCCATAAGACTGATCATATTCGTTTGCCGAATTTATGGAGTCAACTAAAATCTCGATCAAGTCTTGGTTTGTTGCTCGGGAATTCTTCTTTTTGCTTAGCGTGAACTGTGGGTTCCTTTCCACCGCCTCTTCAAGGTGACCACCACCCGCATCTCCCAAAGGTTTATTCTTGAAACTCTCATCCGAGCCTGGTTTGTGACGTTTTGCACAACTCGAATCACTGTTGCCTCCATCTCTCCTGTCCTTGAGTACACAACCATAACTACTCAAATGTGATGGATGATCTCTAGGTAATCCAGCCAAAGGTTTATTATGTCTTGCACTCTTGTTGATTCCTGAAAACTTTTCCCCATCGTCGTCTACAATCTCCAAATCACTTTCTTGCTCCACCCCACACTCTATCTTGCCCCCTTTTCTTATTCTGTTCACTCTACCATCAATCAATTCCTGATTGTCATTTATGTGGGGAACAAAGTTTTGCGATTTTGTATTCAGATTGAAGGGCCTTATAGGACTAGGGCTCCCCCGACCATCACTCTCTTCCTCGATATTCACCTTCTCCACTTTCCCATTTATTATTATCTTTGCAATTTCACAGGCACTCTCGTCAGAATCAGATTCGGAACTCGACGTACTGTAGTCCTCATCGGAGAAACCTTCTTCACTTGTTGTTTCAGTCAAGTCAATTGGTGACATCTTACCACTGCACCTCTTCACTGTAACCCTATCCACTTCAACTGAATCATAATCAGATTTTATTATATTCACATTGTCAAACTTTCGAGGCCTTCCCCTGCCCCTCTTCACAGTTGAGCCCGCTTTGGAATTGTCAGCAATATTCTTTTCCTCCCCACTCTTTTTGCCATAGTCATTGGGCGTCTTCTTCACATTACCAGAGAAGAGATTCCTGTAGTGATGGTCCCACTGATTTCTCGTCCTTGGTCTCATTTTCGCCTGCAAAAACTCATCTCCGTCAAAATACAGGGCCTTTCAACACCACAACACACCAATTGCTATTTAATTTTATTCAACATGAATTAGATTCGTACGACTGGACATGCAGTAGAAAAAGAGTAGACAACGAGGATTTAGTGAAAGCACAGTAGTACATATTCGACTTACCAAAGGGCATGTATGAAGAAGATTGAGGGCCTTCTTGTTGCTTCTTTCCCACAAAATTAGATCTACTTTTCCGAGTAGAACCAGAGAACAAGGGGATACGAGAGAGAGAGAGAGAGAGAGAGGGAGAGAGAGGGGGCGGAGTAAAGAAGGCAAGTAGAAAGAAAGAGTTGGTAATTGACATCAAACGTCATTTATATATTATTATGTTGCATGACAAAAGAGGTGACATATAATAATAATATTTTATTTCAGATTATAATAATATTCAACTATGCATTTGATTTGTAGTTTTTGGGAGGGAGAAACGTGCAATGATTCCACATCGCGAATTCCTAGGACCAAAAATATTACGCCATTTGCGTGTTATAGCATAGGTCAGTCTACTTCCGACATCTCGTCCTTCTCAAACCCAACCGCCAATTACATTCAAATGCAATGCTTCGTGGTTTGACTATTTTGTTTATGGAAATTTTTATTTTGTTTGAATTTTTTTTATTTAGTTTGATTAATTTTGAAAAAAGTGGTATGGTTAGTTGTTAGTGGGTATATTAAAATAATATTTAAAATAAAATAATTAAAATTAATTTAATGTAAAAGTAAGAGAGAGATGATTGAAGTGATGGTTAGTTAAAATAATGTGAGTAGATGAATAGTGAATTAAGGTTTATGTGGTGTCTATGAATGATTGATTGATATTATTTAATTATTTTAATAATATTGATGATAGTGGAGTTGAGTTAAAATTGAGTTAAAAAAAATGGTTGAGTTAAAATGTTGAAATTTTTTTGAAAATTTTTCATAAACAAACATGCTCTTAGGGATTGATACATTAGTTTTTACTTTTTACTTTTTAGCAAATAACCATAATCAGTTTTATACACTGCCAAGGGCGGAGGCATTCACATGTGTGCCTTGGCTATAGCCCGAGTGCCCCTCAGTGGTTGCATTTATTAAACAGCTTTTTGCTCTCAAAAGAGCTTTTTCAAGAATTTAGATGTTTGGCTTTTTAAACCAGTTGAAAAATTGTTTGGTAAATAACAATTACAAATAGCTTTTTGGGGTCTATCCGTCGAATTAAAAAATACTGCTTTTAGCAGCGTTTTGAGTCAGCTGTTCATTATATAAAAATTAAAATGTCTGATTGTCCTTACTTTTCTCTGCTCACAAATTCAGAATAGAAAAAGAGCAATGTATTCNTACATATTTTTAGGTTTGTTTTGTGTAGTGATTTGGAGAATTTTACTCAATTTGTCATGGGGTTGCATATGTGTTTTACTCGATCTTCTATGGGTTTTGCTATATAATTTTGGTGAGTCTAATCGGCCAAGAAAAAATTCTGCCTAAGGAAAGCTTAAATTTACTCCAGTATCAAGTTCACAGCAAAAACATGTGATGTTGATGAGGTTTATGTTCCTTCTCCATTACATGAGAGCGGCAATGATAATTATGGTGGTGACAATTGTTGTGCGGCAGGTGAAACATGGGATGAGGTATGGAGAGAGATTAGCCTGTCCCATACATCTACTCTTATCCCTTCTTCTGATGACATACAAGTTGAAGCGAATGATGGGAGAAAAAGTAAGAGGTCCTTTGTTGGGGACTTCTCACAAAGTAGTAAGGCTGCAAAGACCAACTCAAGTAAGAGAGCAGGGGCTGTAGTAATTCAAGAAATGCTTGGAGGAATGATGCAAAAAATTTCAAAAAGAAGTCATTCAACAGAGGAAATTACTACTTCAATAAATAATATGACGAGTTTGCACATGGATATAGTGAAGTCAATGAAGGAAAAGTCTAACTATAAATTTGGGGATGCTATGGTGAAATTATGTACTCTTTCAGATTTGACGGCTACTTCGTCAGAATTTTTTTTGCTTGCACGATATTCGAAGATCCACAAAAAAGAATTAATTTTTTTTTTTTGGATTGTCTGATGATAACAGTAGGGTTGAATACATTAAGTACATGTATAAAGAGCATGATAAACATATAGTTAAGTTTATTATGTCTTTACTTTTTTATTGTATGATCTGGAATGATATGTTCTTTTTTATTTCCTAGACATAGTTTTTGGGTTGCATGATAATGTTGGATGTTTGCCTATTGATGGTTTATTTTAGTATATGTACTTACTACAATTAACTTTGTTAATCTATGAAGTTAATTTTCTAAAATTGTTATAATTTTTTTATTCTATTTTTTGCTGGCATGGAAAGTAATAATGTGAAAACTAAGCAACTTCTTCTATATGAACAACAATATTTTCAATGCCTATAGTACTTGAAAGAAAAAGACGAATTTTGAGATGTAATGACTTGTGCTATAGGTTATGCATATTGGTATTTTTTGAATCATATATATAAGGAACCATGCATGACTTCATTTTTAACAGGAGAAAGATAGATAAATGAATTACTGAGCGGCCATAAAAACTGATGTTTTGATGCCCTTAGGATGACCTAGAACACATTTCGTCGATTATGTTTAGATTAAGAGAATAGATACGGTTTAAGACCATCAAGTAGGATGTCAGTATTTCATAAAGTGGGGTTATTTGTAGGGTACTTCTAACAGAGATATTCAAGAGCGCTTTCAACATTCTGGTGAAACTGTGAGTAGAATTTTTAAACAAGTTTTAAATTCTATAGATAGCTTTTCAAGAGATATACTTGTACGGAAAGATCCCGAGTTCAAGGATATCCTAACACATATTTCCAATGATGAGAGATATATGCCACATTTTAAGGTAATTTTTGATACTTTTTCAACTTTTTTTTTTCTATTGAAGATGATGATAGTAAATTTTTATTATGTCATATTAGGATTGTATTGGAGCTATTGATGGTACACATAGTGCGATAACCGTAACTGAAGAAGATCAAATTCGTTACAGGGGAAGAAAAGAGATACCGACTACAAATGTTTTAGTAGTGTGTGATTTCGATTTGTTGTTCACATATGTTTTAACAGGATGTGAGGGATCAGCACATGATTCTCGTATTTTCCTTGATACGATCAATGATCCAAATCTCAATTTTCCGAAACCTCCATCAGGTATCTTGTATTTATCATTTATATGCATTGTTGCACACACACACACATACACACTCACACGTCTTCGATATAATTTAATTCTAGTATAACTTGTGTACGTTTAGGTAAATATTACTTAGTAGACAAAGGCTACACAGAAAGAGAAGGTTATTATCGCCTTTACACCAAGACAAGATATCATCAGTCTGAGTTTCGTAGTTCAAACCTGAGGGGATCTCAAGAAGTTTTTAATCGGGCTCGTTAACCTTTAAGAAGTTGTATTGAAAGGGCTTTTGGTGTTATTAAGGCTCGTTGGAAGATACTGCATAAAATGCCGAGATATTCATTAACGGATCAAAATAGAATCATTTGTTCGTGTTTTTCACTTCACATTTATATTAGAAGAAGCATCAATTGTTGATCCGGACTTTAGAGATTGATGCGAATCCTGAATTCATACCTCCTTATTAGGGTTGAGCACGAGGCTCGGAGAATTTTTGAACCGTTCTGAACACCGAACCGAAATCACTCTGAACCAAAAAATAATCATTGACCGTTCGACTTTTTCCGAACCGAACCAAACTGAAAAAATAATTGATACGGTTATGGAGATTTCACAAATATCCATACCGAAAACTAAACCAAATTGTCCCATACCATACCGAACCGAAGAACCAAAAGTAAAAACCGAAATATAACATTAGATGTGTGTTATTAATTTATTTTATGTCAACTTTTATCCTATATAATTTGAGAATTTTTAAAATACAACTAAAATATAACAATAACAATTAAACTTCACTTAAATTTCATGTTTAGTAATACTTGATCTACAATTGAATTTCTCTTTTTATAAAAGTTATATGAAAGGTTAAAGTATATTTGTTAAGAAACAAACTATATTATATTTTGTTTGAATTTTAAATTTTTAATATTAGTTGCACAAATTTAGTCTTAACAAAAATTTAGAGTTACTTCTAAAATTGATTTCAAAATAAAATCTTTAATATGAGGAAATATTGATGAATGTTGGGTTTTTATTAAAGCATATAATAAAAATAACTAAAAAATTTAGAGTTACTTCTAAAGTTGATTTTAAATAAAATCTTCAACATGATGAAGTATTGATGAATGCTGATTTTTTTAAAGCATATAAAAATTAAAATACTAGGTATTCACTCAATATTTTTTTAAAAACATAAGAAATCTCCAAGGATCCGAAACGAACCATACCGAACCGAATTGTTCTGATAGTCCCGAATACCGAACCGAATCGATTTCTTTCACTCAAAGATATCATGATCTCATTTTATTTTATTTTATAATATCTCGGGGGCTAAAAAATAAAAATCTCCAGACCGAACCGTCCCGATTTTATTGTACGGTTCTAGAGGTTTCTCAATCTCCGAACCGTACCGACCCATGTTCATCCCTACTGATATTTTCCAAGATGTTGAAAATAAGTCTGCACAAGGTGATGGGGAAATAAGGACTCTAGAGATGACAAACATTCATAATAATATGGCTTCAAATTTGATGACATCCAGACGTCGTCTTAGAGCATTTGTTTAGTTTTGTTTTCTTTTATTATTGTCCTTTAATTATAATAGCAAATATTGCAATTAACTCACATTTATATTTTTAATTAGTGATGACTTGTTTTTTGCTTTGACTTTGTTTATATGACGTGAACTTATTTACTCGATTATGAAATATTTTCATTTTATAATTACTAACCTTTTATCATATTTAAATCACTATAATATTTATTAGAAGTGATAATTATTTCTATTTCCTAAGTAATTATAAGTTCAACATAAATTAGAATAATAAAGTATGTTAATGTTCTTATAAGTAATTTTACATGCTAATAGCTAATTTAAATAGCTAGCTAACTTTACCAAACATTTTTTTTTTACAAACAGTTAACACGATTAACTGGTCAAAATAACTAATGTAATCCGCTAACAGCTAACAACTTACCACTACAAACAAAACAAGGCCATTATGGCATGTGGGATGGCCGTTCTAGAGTTGTGCATCTCATATAAAATGTACCAAACCACCAG